CCTTTGACCCAATCAGAAGATTTGAGTGTAACAATCAATGACTAAGTCTTCATCTTTTAGTTCTGATAACACTACCAGCAGAAGATGGCTGGTTGTGTTATAAGAGCTTTTATAGTAAACAGCTATCTGTTCTGAATGGTAAAGATATATATATGAATCACAGTATTGTTGTATACTGTACATCTATCAGGTTTAAGTACATAATTTTTTTTTTTATAATTAATGTAAATATACAAATCTATCCACAATCACAAAATTAAGTACAAAATTCTAGATATCTCCATCACAGTGCCACAAAACCAACTCCAGTCTTCATCAACCCTAAAGAAATCATGTGGTCAAAAATTTACAAATAATTTGTATTTTTTCAGACAAATATTTACCTTTTGGAATCAGCTGTATTTTTTGCAGCTTTTGTGGTGTTCCATCAGTGCGTATAGCATCCAAGGAAAGACAATTTTTTTTTAAGTAGTGTAAATAAAAATGAAGCTGTGACATTTATGTTTTAAGTAGTGTAAATAAAAAAGAAGCTGTGACATTTATGTTTTAAGTAGTGTAAATAAAAAAGAAGCTGTGACATTTATGTTTTAAGTAGTGTAAATAAAAAAGAAGCTGTGACATTTATGTTTTAAGTAGTGTAAATAAAAAAGAAGCTGTGACATTTATGTTTTAAGTAGTGTAAATAAAAAAGAAGCTGTGACATTTATGTTTTAAGTAGTGTAAATAAAAAAGAAGCTGTGACATTTATGTTTTAAGTAGTGTAAATAAAAAAGAAGCTGTGACATTTATGTTTTAATATAAATAAAAAAGAAGCTGTCAAAATATAAACATAGAAGAAATAACTTTTATTCTTTGTTGTTTATTGGTTTGTAAACTGCATTTTTTATAGATATTTCAACAGAATTTAAAATATCTATCAAAATATGCACTTTACACAACAGTAAACAACCGAAAATAAAAACAATGCTGCTTTATTTCATTTTTGACATTTACTCTTTATAGCAGAAATAATGAAAATACAACTTGATTTCATGACTACACCCGGTTTTCTGTGTCATAAAATAGACGATAGAACACTGATTTCATATAATTAACAAATGCTTGTATCCTATTCAATCACAAAACAGGTTCTACAACTCTAACATGGACATTCCTACATCCTCCTCCATTTTTGTGCACTATGTATACCTGTAGGTATTTGTTGTTTTGTTTGAAGGAAGGTTAAGATTATTAAATGCTGATTTACAATTACTTGGATAACTTGTCACTTCACACAATAATTTTCAATATTCAACCCAAATCTTTGTGAATTTCTCTTTTGACCTTTGTGAATTTTATTGAATAAAAACAAAAAAACTGACGCAGTATCAGCATCATCAGCTACACATGTAGACAAATGATAAGGATAACTATTTATGTAAACAGTCATCCCCCAACTTCTGTTAAACACTTAATAGAATAATGAATATGTTACTGAAATCTGTGTAACTGAAATATAATACAGTTTGACTGATTTTTACTGAAAACCAAAAACTTCTTCTATAAACCTCCAAACCTTCAAAACAAGATGCAGTTACTTTACCAGTAAGTAAAAGCAGGTTTCTTACTGTTAGGAACTACAAACATATTTTCAGGACAGGCTGAATTCTGAGGTTGACATATTTTTAAGTTTTCTATGGTATGAAATATAGTTGTATGCACACAGAAGATCACCAATGTGACTTGTTCCAAGGCAATTTACCTACGACATGGGTTTAAAGGACCAAAATTTCAAAAACATAGCATTCAACATTTATATATAGTAAGAGAGTAAAGAACACTGTGAATGATTTTTAGAGAAATTCCATTCCGTCCTGTTAGTGACAAGGACAGATGATGTGACGGTTGTAGAGAAATTCCATTCCGTCCTGATAGTGACAAGGACAGATGATGTGTCTGTTGTAGAGAAATTCCATTCCTTCCTGTTAGTGGCAAGGACAGATGATGTGTCTGTTGTAGAGAAATTCCATTCCGTCCTGTTAGTGACAAGGACAGATGATGTGTCTGTTGTAGAGAAATTCCATTCCGTCCTGTTAGTGACAAGGACAGGTGATGTGTCTGTTGTAGAGAAATTCCATTCCGTCCTGTTAGTGACAAGGACAGATGATGTGCCGGCTGTAGAGAAATTCCATTCCGTCCTGTTAGTGGCAAGGACAGATGATGTGTCTGTTGTAGAGAAATTCCATTCCGTCCTGTTAGTGACAAGGACAGATGATGTGCCGGCTGTAGAGAAATTCCATTCCGTCCTGTTAGTGACAAGGACAGATGATGTGCCGGCTGTAGAGAAATTCCATTCCGTCCTGTTAGTGACAAGGACAGATGATGTGCCGGCTGTAGAGAAATTCCATTCCGTCCTGTTAGTGACAAGGACAAATGATGTTTCGGTCATAGAGAAATTCAAACATTAAGAAAGCATAAAAATCAGTCAATTTGATCAAAGTGTGAACATCAACCAAGGACAGGATTTATACTATAAACAGACAACAGGACTGAATGGAAGGACTGATATGTAATGGTAGAATATCTAACCGACCAGAGGTGACACATATTTTGACAACATGATATAGAATATCTTTATATAATCATTTCTTTTGTCTGACTTAATAACAGGAAATTAAACCAGTTTTTTTTTGTTTGTAGAATATGTGACTTACAGGTTTATACCTGTTAAGTATTTTATGAATCAGGCTCCTAACGACTCACATTAAGGTATTTTATAATCTGTTGTTGGGAAGACTGTGTAGTACTGCTGATCTGTCACAAAGGGAGATAATTATAACTGCATTACAGTCTCCATCACAAAGGGAGATAATTATAACTGTATTACAGTCTCCATCACAAAGGGAGATAATTATAACTGCATTACAGTCTCCATCACAAAGGGAGATAATTATAACTGCATTACAGTCTCCATCACAAAGGGAGATAATTATAACTGCATTACAGTCTCCATCACAAAGGGAGATAATTATAACTGCATTACAGTCTCCATCACAAAGGGAGAAAATTATAACTGCATTACAGTCTCCATCACAAAGGGAGATCATAATAACTGCATTACAGTGTAATCATCAAAAAGGGAGATAACTGCTGTTGTTTTGTGGTCAAATTTGTGGTTAGAAAATGCTTAGCAGGTAAAAAGACTTAAAAAGAATATTTAACATGTTGATTGTAGAAAACATAATTTTAAATACTCTCCATTTTTATATCATATATTAAGTAGTGAAACAAAATGCCTTTGTTATTTAAACTGTATTACATTTAACAAAGACATGTAAGTACCATACAACAGTTAAAAAACCCATCAAACTCTACGTAAGTTGTTACAGATAAGTTCACCTTCTTTAGTAAATTATAAGTCCCATTGAACATCCATCATATTAGAAATAAAGACTTGGACGAAGTGGTTCACAATGTGATATAGAAACCTGTGCTGAGAAGTTCACAATTTAATAATGGTGATCTTCGTCGACCAGTTCAAAGTTCAGAGATATAGTCCTGAGGTCATCAGTTCAAAGTTCGAAGAAAGAAAGACCTGAGGTCATCAGTTCAAAGTTCAGAGAGATAGAAACATAAGGTCATTAGTTCAATAATTCAGAAATGGATGGAGAACTTGTCACCAGTTTAAAGTTCTGAGATTGAGAACTATGGTCTAAAATTCAAAGTTCTGAGAAAGTGACCATCTTCATGACCAATTATCATTATATATGTAGTCATATGATTATCTTAATCAGAAATAGAATATTTTTGTCTGAAGAACTTATGTTGAAAGATGAGTGAAAAACCCTGATAACGTTTGAATAATTACAGACCAAATGACCTCCTGATATCTACTGTCTCTTGGAATGATCGTTTGATAATGCACACCATCATCACTATAACATGTAGTATCATGTGTATTTAGGTAGGGTCGTACATAATCTTCATACATCTTCATGTCACATGATATAAAACAGTGTCATGTGTCATAACACATCATCTTCATACATCCCCACATCACATGACACCAAACATATGACTTCATAGAACATCACAAATGATCATCATACATCACATGATATCATTCAGTGTCATGTGATTTAATAGACCATCAGAAATAATCATCATACATCACATGATATCACTCAGTGTCATGTGACTTAATAGAACATCAGAAATAATCATCATACATCACATGATATCACTCAGTGTCATGTGACTTAATAGAACATCAGAAATAATCATCATACATTTTTATGTCACATGACATAAAACAGTGTCTTATATGTGACATAACAGCATTGTCATTTTTGATGATGGCACTAACAAAGACTTTGTAAAATGTTGATGATACAGAGATGTAACATTGAAAATAACACACTATAATGCTGTATAAAATAGAGCTTGGTTGAGCAACACTAACCACTGGTTCCCATCACACATATCCTGCCTACCCTGGAAATGGATTAATCTTCATACTGAAGTCAATCAGATGACAATGTCAGAACATTCCATTCCTATTCTATGTGTAAAATCCATGTAACATTTTATAAATCACTCGGAAGAAGACAAGTCTTTATTCTGACAGGGATAGCTTAAAGTGGAAATAAAACCCTTCCCTAGAGCTTTACCGTTCAATTCTGTTGACTGAGGTCTAGATCTGTTCAATTCTGTTGACTGTGGTCTAGATCTGTCTAATTCTGTTGACTGAGGTCTAGATCTGTCCAATTCTGTTGGCTGAGGTCTAGATCTGTCCAATTCTCTTGACTGAGGTCTAGATCTGTCCAATTCAATTGGCTGTGGTCTAGATCTGTCTAATTCTGTTGACTGAGGTCTAGATCTGTCTAATTCTGTTGACTGTGGTCTAGATCTGTCCAATTTAATCGGCTGTGGTCTAGATCTGTCCAATTCTGTTGGCTGAGGTCTAGATCTATCCAATTCTGTTGGCTGAGGTCTAGATCTGTCCAATTCTGTTGGCTGAGGTGAATGCTTATTGCACATGGCACATTACGCCCTCTTACATGTTGAAGATAATCCTGTGAGAGGGTTCCTATCACGCTTCATGCATCTGATAAATATCCTTTGTAGAAAGTCTGTTTTCTAAACTGTTTCTGAGTTCAACTAATGTCAGTTTCATCTGAAAAAAGAGAGATAGATTTTAAGAAGCGATTGTGGGTTAAAATTTTATATTCCTCTCTGTAAAATAGTGACAGATTTGACACAAAAATGTGAGGACTTCACTATTAAGATTGCTGGAATGGATGTGAAAAGGTATGGGGTCACCTGCCCAACATGAGCTTTCCCGGAGTACTCCGGTTTCCCCCCTCGTGCCCGGGGTACTCCGGTTTCCCCCCTCGCGCCCTTCAATCCGAGCCGACAAGAGTGATAAATATAAGTTGGAAAAACTTGCTTCGCAATTGTTGTAAAATAAATAAATTATTATTTATAAAAAAACTACATTTATTGTGTTTCACTATGATTGCTACTTAATCTATTATGAAATACATTGTACCAAAGGGATCTTTAATACCTCTATAATACCGTGGTGTCAATGCAAAATGGCCCCTGGCAGCCATCAGTCAAATGAGATAAAAGATGTACATACAGACTAGTATTTATCAATATAAAAGTATTCACGACTAGAGAGTCCTCAGGTACATGTAGGTACATCAGCTCTATAGATGTATTACACGACTAAAGAGTCCTCAGGTACATGTAGGTACATCAGCTCTATAGATGTATTACACGACTAGAGAGTCCTCAGGTACATGTAGGTACATCAGTTCTAAAGATGCATTACACGACTAGAGAGTCCTCAGGTACATGTAGGTACATCAGTTCTATAGATGCATTACACGACTAGAGAGTCCTCAGGTACATGTAGGTACATCAGTTCTATAGATGCATTACACGACTAGAGAGTCCTCAGGTACATGTAGGTACATCAGCTCTATAGATGTATTACACGACTAGAGAGTCCTCAGGTACATGTAGGTACATCAGCTCTATAGATGTATTACACGACTAGAGAGTCCTCAGGTACATGTAGGTACGTCAGCTCTATAGATGTATTACACGACTAGAGAGTCCTCAGGTACATGTAGGTACATCAGCTCTATAGATGTATTACACGACTAGAGAGTCCTCAGGTACATGTAGGTACATCAGCTCTATAGATGTATTACACGACTAGAGAGTCCTCAGGTACATGTAGGTACATCAGCTCTATAGATGTATTACACGACTAGAGAGTCCTCAGGTACATGTAGGTACATGTAGATTGGTCTTTAGATGTATATTCCTCTTGTTTTTACAATAACAAGAAGAAAACATGCAAATTTTCCTATTTTGAAAGGGTCACTAAAATCGCAAAAATCACATACTCCCTAAAAATTCGTGATATACCGTAATCACTGAAATGATGTACCTGGTCAATGAGAGTGATAGAGGAAGAGAGAATTTCCTTCCATTTGTCGATCTCTCGTTCGTAAAGATACTGCTGCTGTTTCAGGACACTCATCCATTCCTCCTGTGACTTTGGACTTCTGAAACAAAATATCTGTAATTTAAAGATAATTCATAATACACTGTAAAACTGGGTCTAATAACTTGATTTTAATTATTTTATTAAATTTTAAATTATTATTTCATGGATAAATACAGCCCTACAAATCTGTTTAAAATATTTCTACCACTATGTCGACATGAATTTCAGGATTACATGTAACAACAAAGATTTTTAATCCCAAATAAAAATTTAGGATTTTCAAGAACTGAAAATCAATGATTTTTAATCCCTGATGAAAATGCAACTGTTTACAAGGAATGATTAAGCCACAGTGTATTTCGCTTTTGCACAAAACAGGACATAAATAATATCATAGAAAAGTTTTTAAGACCACAGTAGTCTGAAATAAAAATTAATTTTTTTTTATATTATCTTTCCTATTACCAGTAAATTGATGAGTGGGAAATCAGACAAGCACACTTACATTGTTTCATCAATGTGAGCTGGTGAGTGAGGCGAGTACAACATGGTGGCAAAGCCCTCCAGCGACCAGAGTTTGTAGAAAAGTATGGCATTAAATATAACTAGTAAAACAAGCCTGGAAAAAAAAGGTCAAAGGTTACAATGATATCTGTACCAAACTCCTACTGAATCAATGATATCTGTACCAAACTCCTACTGAATCAATGATATCTGTACCAAACTCCTACTGAATCAATGATATCTGTACCAAACTCCTACTGAATCAATGATATCTGTACCAAACTCCTACTGAATCAATGATATCTGTACCAAACTCCTACTGAATCAATGATATCTGACTATCACAGTTTGATCATCTATACTGAATCAATGATATCTGTACCAAACTCCTACTGAATCAATGATATCTGTACCAAACTCCTACTGAATCAATGATATCTGTACCAAACTCCTACTGAATCAATGATATCTGACTATCACAGTTTGAGATATCTCTAATGAATCAATGATATCTGTACAAAACTCCTACTGAATCAATGATATCTGTACCAAACTCCTACTGAATCAATGATATCTGTACCAAACTCCTACTGAATCAATGATATCTGTACCAAACTCCTACTGAATCAATGATATCTGTACCAAACTCCTACTGAATCAATGATATCTGTACCAAACTCCTACTGAATCAATGATATCTCACTATCACAGTTTGATCATCTCTACTGGATCAATGATATCTGACTATCACAGTTTGATCATCTCTACTGAATCAATGATATCTGTACCAAACTCCTACTGAATCAATGATATCTGTACCAAACTCCTACTGAATCAATGATATCTGACTATCACAGTTTGATCATCTCTACTGAATCAATGATATCTGTACCAAACTCCTACTGAATCAATGATATCTGTACCAAACTCCTACTGAATCAATGATATCTGTACCAAACTCCTACTGAATCAATGATATCTGTACCAAACTCCTACTGAATCAATGATATCTGTACCAAACTCCTACTGAATCAATGATATCTGTACCAAACTCCTACTGAATCAATGATATCTGTCCCAAACTCCTACTGAATCAATGATATCTGTACCAAACTCCTACTGAATCAATGATATCTGTAATCCTACTGAATCAATGATATCTGTACCAAACTCCTACTGAATCAATGATATCTGTACCAAACTCCTACTGAATCAATGATATCTGACTATCACAGTTTGATCATCTCTACTGAATCAATGATATCTGTACCAAACTCCTACTGAATCAATGATATCTGTACCAAACTCCTACTGAATGATATCTGTAATGAATATCTGTACCAAACTCCTACTGAATCAATGATATCTGTACCAAACTCCTACTGAATCAATGATATCTGTACCAAACTCCTACTGAATCAATGATATCTGTACCAAACTCCTACTGAATCAATGATATCTGTACCAAACTCCTACTGAATCAATGATATCTGTACCAAACTCCTACTGAATCAATGATATCTGTACTAAACTCACTGAATCAATGTATTGATCATCCTACTGAATCAATGATATCTGTACCAAACTCCTACTGAATCAATGATATCTGTACCATCCTACTGAATCAATGATATCTGACCATCCTACTGAATCAATGATATCTGATCAAACTCCTACTGAATCAATGATATCTGTACCAAACTCCTACTGAATCAATGATATCTGTACCAAACTCCTACTGAATCAATGATATCTGTACCAAACTCCTACTGAATCAATGATATCTGTACCAAACTCCTACTGAATCAATGATATCTGTACCAAACTCCTACTGAATCAATGATATCTGTACCAAACTCCTACTGAATCAATGATATCTGTACCAAACTCCTACTGAATCAATGATATCTGTACCAAACTCCTACTGAATCAATGATATCTGTACCAAACTCCTACTGAATCAATGATATCTCACTATCAGTTTGATCATCTCTGCTGAATCAATGATATCTGTACCAAACTCCTACTGAATCAATGATATCTGTACCAAACTCCTACTGAATCAATGATATCTGTACCAAACTCCTACTGAATCAATGATATCTGTACCAAACTCCTACTGAATCAATGATATCTGTACCAAACTCCTACTGAATCAATGATATCTGTATCAATGATATACCAAACTCCTATATCTGAATCAATCAATGATATCTGTACCAAACTCTACTGAATCAATGATATCTGTACCAAACTCCTACTGAATCAATGATATCTGTACCAAACTCCTACTGAATCAATGATATCTGACTATCACAGTTTGATCATCTCTACTGAATCAATGATATCTGTACCAAACTCCTACTGAATCAATGATATCTGTACCAAACTCCTACTGAATCAATGATATCTGTACCAAACTCCTACTGAATCAATGATATCTGTACCAAACTCCTACTGAATCAATGATATCTGTATCCTACTGATGATATCTGTACCAAACTCCTACTGAATCAATGATATCTGTACCAAACTCCTACTGAATCAATGATATCTGTACCAAACTCCTACTGAATCAATGATATCTGTACCAAACTCCTACTGAATCAATGATATCTGTATCTACTGAATCAATGATATCTGTACACTGAACTCCTACTGAATCGATATCTGTACCAAACTCCTACTGAATCAATGATATCTGACTATCACAGTTTGATCATCTCTACTGAATCAATGATATCTGTACCAAACTCCTACTGAATCAATGATATCTGTACCAAACTCCTACTGAATCAATGATATCTGTACCAAACTCCTACTGAATCAATGATATCTGTACCAAACTCCTACTGAATCAATGATATCTGTACCAAACTCCTACTGAATCAATGATATCTGACTATCACAGTTTGATCATCTCTACTGAATCAATGATATCTCACTATCGGTTTGATCATCTCTACTGAATCAATGATATCTGACTATCACAGTTTGATCATCTCTACTGAATCAATGATATCTCACTATCGGTTTGATCATCTCTGCTGAATCAATGATATCTCACTATCAGTTTGATCATCTCTACTGGATCAATGATATCTGACTATCACAGTTTGATCATCTCTACTGAATCAATGATATCTCACTATCAGTTTGATCATCTCTGCTGAATCAATGATATCTGTACCAAACTCCTACTGAATCAATGATATCTGTACCAAACTCCTACTGAATCAATGATATCTCACTATCACAGTTTGATCATCTCTACTGGATCAATGATATCTGACTATCACAGTTTGATCATCTCTACTGAATCAATGATATCTCACAATCAAACTCTACTGAATCAATGATATCTGATCATCTCTACTGAATCTGATATCAATGATATCTCTACTGTCAATGATATCTCAAACTAACATCCTACTGAATCAATGATATCTCTCTCTACTGAATCAATGATATCTCACAATCACAGTTTGATCATCTCTACTGAATCTCTACTGAATCAATGATATCTCACTATCACAGTTTGATCATCTCTACTGAATCAATGATATCTCACTATCAGTTTGATCATCTCTACTGAATCAATGATATCTCACTATCAGTTTGATCATCTCTACTGAATCAATGATATCTCACTATCAGTTTGATCATCTCTACTGAATCAATGATATCTCACTATCAGTTTGATCATCTCTACTGAATCAATGATATCTCACTATCACAGTTTGATCATCTCTACTGAATCAATGATATCTCACTATCACAGTTTGATCATCTCAATGATATCTCACTATCACTGATCATCTCTACTGATCAATGATATCTCACTATCAGTTTGATCATCTCTACTCAATCAATGATATCTCACTATCATCATCTACTGAATCAATGATATCTCACTATCACAGTTTGATCATCTCTACTGAATTTATCTCACTCATCTCTCTACTGAATCAATCTCAATCAGATATCTCACTCATGATATCTCACTATCAGTTTGATCATCTCTACTGAATCAATGATATCTCACTATCAGTTTGATCATCTCTACTGAATCAATGATATCTCACAATCACAGTTTGATCATCTCTACTGAATCAATGATATCTCACTATCACAGTTTGATCATCTCTACTGAATCAATGATATCTCACTATCACAGTTTGATCATCTCTACTGAATCAATGATATCTCTACTGAATCATGTTTGATCATCTCTACTGAATTTGTGATCATCTGATATCTCACTATCACATCTCTACTGTTTGAATCAATGATATCTCATCATCTCTACTGAATCAATGATATCTCACTATCACAGTTTGATCATCTCTACTGAATCAATGATATCTCACTATCACAGTTTGATCATCTCTACTGAATCAATGATATCTCACAATCACAGTTTGATCATCTCTACTGAATCAATGATATCTCACTATCACAGTTTGATCATCTCTACTGAATCAATGATTTATTCACTCATTGTATCATGTTTGATCATCTCTACTGAATGACTTGTGTGAAGTCTTATGTCTATTGTAAACATGAATTTTAGTTCACGGACTTATGTGAAACCTTATGTCTATTGTAAACATGGATTTAAGTTCACTGACTTGTGTGAAGTCTTATGTCTATTGTAAACATGAATTTTAGTTCACTGACTTGTGTGAAGTCTTATGTCTATTGTAAACATGAATTTTAGTTCACTGACTTATGTGAAACCATTGTAAACATGGATTTAAGTTCACTGACTTGTGTGAAGTCTTATGTCTAAATCATTTTAGTTCACTGACTTGTGTGAATTTATGTCTATTGTAATGGATTTAGTTCACTGACTTGTGTGAAGTCTTATGTCTATTGTAAACATGATCATTGATTGTAAACATGGATTTAGTTCACTGACTTGTGTGAAGTCTTATGTCTATTGTAAACATGGATTTAAGTTCACTGAAAACCCTGAATTGTAAACATGGATTTAAGTTCACTGACTTGTGTGAAGTCTTCATTGTAAACATGAAGTTGTATACAATCTAATCAAGGTTAATAATTAAATACTTCGTATACTACTGACTTGTGTGAAGTCTTATGTCTATTGTAAACATGAATTTTAGTTCACTGACTTGTGTGAAGTCTTATGTCTATTGTAAACATGGATTTTAGTTCACTGACTTGTGTGAAGTCTTATGTCTATTGTAAACATGGATTTTAGTTCACTTGACACTGACTTGTGTGAAGTCTTATGTCTATTGTAAACATGAATTTAAGTTCACTGACTTGTGTGAAGTCTTATGTCTATTGTAAACATGAATTTAAGTTCACTGACTTGTGTGAAGTCTTATGTCTATTGTAAACATGAATTTAAGTTCACTGACTTGTGTGAAGTCTTATGTCTATTGTAAACATGGATTTTAGTTCACTGACTTGTGTGAAGTCTTATGTCTATTGTAAACATGGATTTAAGTTCACTGACTTGTGTGAAGTCTTATGTCTATTGTAAACATGGATTTTAGTTCACTGACTTGTGTGAAGTCTTATGTCTATTGTAAACATGAATTTTAGTTCACTGACTTGTGTGAAGTCTTATGTCTATTGTAAACATGGATTTAAGTTCACTGACTTGTGTGAAGTCTTATGTCTATTGTAAACATGAATTTTAGTTCACTGACTTGTGTGAAGTCTTATGTCTATTGTAAACATGGATTTAAGTTCACTGACTTGTGTGAAGTCTTATGTCTAATTTAAACTATCCTTTACTGGAACAACTGCGAAATTTAACAGTTATACACGATACATTGGAGGTTGAATAATTAATCATCATCAAATATCAGATTAAAATTTCAGTAGGTAAACTCACATCGTATAGGAGAGGGAGGAACAGCTTGTGGTGTGTGACGTGACTGTTTTGTTTTATTATCCATGAGAGACAGATGTCGAGACATGGTTGGTTTGGTCTGTTTAAGAGCTGCCGTTTCCATATTAGTTGGATTGGTACGTGTTCGTCGTTTACGGAGTTTACGTTTCAGTGACTGTGTCTGTGAGCCTTTATTGGACTCCTGTAGACTTTCCACTTCTCGCTTCAGATGGGCGTCCAGAGTTTTGAAGAAGTCCTCCGATCCCTGGTAACCATTCTTCTCTATCATACCTGGGGGTAATAAACAGATCTTTATCAACCTATCAGACAGTGTATTAACCAAAAACATAATATCTCTGTACCATATCTGTCAACAAGTTGAGGGGTGGGCTTATTACACGACCCCAGGAGGGCAACACATTACCTCTGTCTTAGAGTCAAGGGTTAAGCTTATTACACAATCCCAGGGGGGCAACACATTACCTCTGTCTCAGAGTCAAGGGTTAAGCTTATTACACAACCCCAGGGGGGCAACACATTTCCTCTGTCTCAAAATCCAGGATTAGGCTTATAACATGACCCCAGGGGGGCAACACATTACCTCTGTCTCAAAGTCCAGTGTTAGGCTTATTACACAACCCCAGGGGGGCAACACATTTCCTCTGTCTCAAAATCCAGGATTAGGCTTATAACATGACCCCAGGGGGGCAACACATTACCTCTGTCTCAAAGTCCAGTGTTAGGCTTATTACACAACCCCAGGGGGGCAACACATTTCCTCTGTCTCAAAATCCAGGATTAGGCTTATAACATGACCCTAGGGGGCAACACATTACCTCTGTCTCAGAATCAAGGGTTAAGCTTATTACACAACCCCAGGGGGGCAACACATTACCTCTGTCTCAGAGTCAAGGGTTAGGCTTATAACATGACCCCAGGGGGGCAACACATTACCTCTGTCTCAAAATCCAGGATTAGGCTTATAACATGACCCCAGGGGGGCAACACATTTCCTCTGTCTCAGAATCAAGGGTTAAGCTTATTACACAACCCCAGGGGGGCAACACATTACCTCTGTCTCAAAATCCAGGATTAGGCTTATAACATGACCCCAGGGGGGCAACACATTACCTCTGTTTCAGAGTCAAGGGTTAAGCTTATTACACAATCCCAGGGGGGGGGGAGGGGGGGGAGGGGGGGGGGGCAACACATTACCTCTGTCTCAGAGTCAAGGGTTAAGCTTATTACACAATCCCAGGGGGGCAACACATTACCTCTTTCTCAAAGTCAAAGGTTAGGCTTATTGCTGGACACCAGAAGACTAGCTCAATACCTCTAACTGAAAGTCAGGGAGGGGCTTATTACAGGACCCCTGGAATGACAGATTTCCAAATGGAACGACAGATTTCCATATTGAGTGACGAGTGACAGATTTCTAAATTGACAGACAGATTTCTAAATTGACAGACAGATGGACAATGTTGGTAGACGTTGGATACTATATATTATAAATACTATGGTTAACTTACTTTTGGCAAGTCCCCAGACAGATTTCTTGTATCGTATCTCTGTGGTGATTCGTAGACGAGACTTGTGATGTGTGACACGTGATATACAGAATCTGTTGACAACCTAAAGAAATAATAAAAACAATGGAAAATGTTTATAAATTAAAAATCACAATCTGGTCATGTGTCACTAAAATTGGAAATTTAAACTACAATTGTTTCCACATTTATCGCTAGCTATAATTTATCATTTCTTACCACAAATGCATCTGCATATGGAATTCCAGCCATAGAACACTCTGTGTCCACCACATACAGAGACCCTGGCTTCGACAACTTGTACAATGTCTGTTTTTCAAAAGTGTGTGATGATTTAGGACCAATGGAATAATTCAGAGCCACTGTATAACTTAGTGTACGATGTCGATTTCCTGTTCTACTGGTATCATCCTGCCATGGAGACACGGCCAAATCTAAAAAAAACAATAACGTATCCTGGTTATCTGTATATATATATATATACTGTATTTATCCACTAATAAGCCCATGTCTGGTAATAAACCCACCCCTATCCATTGCTGTTTAGTAGGATTATTACTGTATTCATCCACTAATAAGCCCATGTCTGGTAATAAACACACCCCTATCCATTGCTGTTTAGTAGGATTATTACTGTATTCATCCACTTATATGCCCATCCATATCTACTGCTGTTTAGTAGAATTATTACAGTAATTATCCAGTTATAAGCCCATGTCTGGTGATATACCCATCCACATTTATTACTGTTTAGTAGAATTATTACAGTATTTATCCAGTTATAAGCCTGTGTCTGGTAATAAGCCCACCCATATCTATTGCTGTTGAGTGTTATTTTCAATAAAACAATTTCAAGGTCATGTTATCAGACCTCACCTGATTTTTAGTCTGAGGTCATGAGTAGGACATGATTTATCCCCCTTCACTTAGTACAGAATATATCTGGCAATATAGCACTATACACAAATTTCAGGTCATTGAGTTTCAGTTTTCATTCATAAAAATTGATGTTTCTTTAGTTTTCTATGAAAGTACCCTACAGAAGTATTGTGTTTTAATGTGTCTATGTTTCTTAAGAAACTGACAATTAAGATTACAACCTGATAGTAAAGCAGTTGTGACTCAAAGACCGCCAACAACACCCTTCCAAGTCAGTGTCAGTATATAGAGGGTGGTACTTACTACTGTTACGTTTAGACAGGTGAACACTCTGGATGAAGGCCGTGTCAGTATATAGAGGGGGTACTTACTACTGTTACGTTTAGACAGGTGAACACTCTGGATGAAGGCCGTGTCAGTATATAGAGGGGGTACTTACTACTGTTACGTTTAGACAGATGAACACTCTGTATGAAGGCCGTGTCAGTATATAGAGGGGGTACTTACTACTGTTACGTTTAGACAGATGAACACTCTGTATGAAGGCTGTGTCAGTATATAGAGGGGGTACTTACTACTGTTACGTTTAGACAGATGAACACTCTGTATGAAGGCCGTGTCAGTATATAGAGGGGGTACTTACTACTGTTACGTTTAGACAGGTGAACACTCTGTATGATGGCCGTGTCAGTATATAGAGGGGGTACTTACTACTGTTACGTTTAGACAGGTGAACACTCTGGATGAAGGCCGTGTCAGTATATAGAGGGGGTACTTACTACTGTTACGTATAGACAGGTGAACACTTTGGATGAAGGCCGTGTCAGTATATAGAGGGGGTACTTACTACTGTTACGTATAGACAGGTGAACACTTTGGATGAAGGCCGTGTCAGTATATAGAGGGGGAACTTACTACTGTTACGTTTAGACAGGTGAACACTTTGGATGAAGGCCGTGTCAGTATACAGGAGGTCAAACAATTTCTCCACCGGGATGTAATACACAGCGTAAAGCATCTCTTTACAGAAGTGACTGTGGTCTGTGGTGCATACAACTTCCCCTGTAATACAAAAGACAAATTGAGAAATTACACATTGTAAAAGAAAACACTTAGCATTAGTAGAAACATTACATAATGATAACAGTAAACATGTTACATCATAATCATGATATGCAGGGTTGCCTATTTAGCAATGACTAACTGGAGACAAACACAGCAGGTACATTGCCTAACTAGACACATAACAACAGGCTTATTGCCTAACTGTAGAAAAAAACACAGGCTTATTGTCTAACTGGAGACAAAACAACAGGGTTATTGCCTAACTAGACACATAACAACAGGCTTATTGCCTAACTGTAGAAAAAAACACAGGCTTATTGTCTAACTGGAGACAAACACAGCAGGTACATTGCCTAACTAGACACATAACAACAGGCTTATTGCCTAACTGGAGACAAACACAGCAGGTACATTGCCTAACTAGACACATAACAACAGGCTTATTGCCTAACTGGAGACAAACACAGCAGGTACATTGCCTAACTAGACACATAACAACAGGCTTATTGCCTAACTGTAGAAAAAAACACAGGCTTATTGCCTAACTGGAGACAAACACAGCAGGTACATTGCCTAACTAGACACATAACAACAGGCTTATTGCCTAACTGTAGAAAAAAACACAGGCTTATTGTCTAACTGGAGACAAAACAACAGGGTTATTGCCTAACTAGACACATAACAACAGGCTTATTGCCTAACTGTAGAAAAAAACACAGGCTTATTGCCTAACTGGAGACAAACACAGCAGGTATATTGCCTAACTAGACACATAACAACAGGCTTATTGCCTAACTGTAGAAAAAAACACAGGCTTATTGTCTAACTGGAGACAAAACAACAGGGTTATTGTCTAAGTGTAGACAAAACAACAGGCTTATTGCCAAACTGGAGACAAAACAACAGGGTTATTGCCTAAACTGGAGACAAAACAACAGGGTTATTGTCTAAGTGTAGACAAAATAACAGGGTTATTGCTTAACTGGAGACAAACATTGTTATGTAAACTACGGTACCCCATCAAAGCAAATGTTGCTGACATTGATTCCTAAAAGTAAACATTGCTGGTGAGTTTCACGCAGGATGTCTGCCATCAAATTCAACTTCAATCCAATTTGACCTTTTGACCTAACCCTGTCAGATTTTTGTTGATTTATTTTTCACCAAGTAAAAAGCAGACAAAATATAATGCTGTAGCTGCCCCTGGTGCAGTGAAGTGATCAGGTGAGATCCCACAAAAAGTAAGGCCACATATTAGTCAGAAATAAGGTGACTTACCTGACACCAGACAAAAAGTAATGATTTAGACAATAACTGACTAATATGAGGTGACAATTACTGACTGATATGTGGTGACAGACAATTACTGACTGATATGAGGTGACGGACAATTACTGACTGATATGTGGTGACAATTACTGACAGATATGTGGTGACAGACAATTACTGACTGATATGAGGTGACAGACAATTACTGACTGATATGAGGTGACAATTACTGACTGATATGAGGTGACAGACAATTACTGACTGATATGTGGTGACAATTACTGACTGATATGTGGTGACAGACAATTACTGACTGATATGAGGTGACAGACAATTACTGACTGAAATGAGGTGACAGACAATTACTGACTGATATGAGGTGACAATTACTGACTGATATGAGGTGACAGACAATTACTGACTGATATGAGGTGACAATTACTGACTGATATGAGGTGACAGACAATTACTGACTAATATGAGGTGACAATTACTGACTGATATGTGGTGACAGACAATTGCTGACTGATATGAGGTGACAGACAATTACTGACTGATATGAGGTGACAGACAATTACTGACTGATATGAGGTGACAGACAATTACTGACTGATATGAGGTGACAGACAATTACTGACTAATATGAGGTGACAGACAATTACTGACTGATATGAGGTGACAATTACTGACTGATATGAGAGACATTACTGACTGATATGAGGTGACAGACAATTACTGACTAATATGAGGTGACAGACAATTACTGACTGATATGAGGTGACAGACAATTACTGACTGATATGAGGTGACAGACAATTACTGACTGATATGTGGTGACAGACAATTACTGACTGATATGAGAGACATTACTGACTGATATGAGGTGACAGACAATTACTGACTAATATGAGGTGACAATTACTGACTGATATGTGGTGACAGACAATTGCTGACTGATATGAGGTGACAGACAATTACTGACTGATATGAGGTGACAGACAATTACTGACTGATATGAGGTGACAGACAATTACTGACTGATATGAGGTGACAGACAATTACTGACTAATATGAGGTGACAGACAATTACTGACTGATATGAGGTGACAATTACTGACTGATATGAGAGACATTACTGACTGATATGAGGTGACAGACAATTACTGACTAATATGAGGTGACAGACAATTACTGACTGATATGAGGTGACAGACAATTACTGACTGATATGAGGTGACAGACAATTACTGACTGATATGTGGTGACAGACAATTACTGACTGATATGAGAGACATTACTGACTGATATGAGGTGACAGACAATTACTGACTAATATGAGGTGACAGACAATTACTGACTGATATGAGGTGACAGACAATTACTGACTGATATGAGGTGACAGACAATTACTGACTGATATGTGGTGACAGACAATTACTGACTGATATGAGGTGACAATTACTGACTGATATGAGGTGACAGACAATTACTGACTGATATGAGGTGACAGACAATTACTGACTGATATGAGGTGACAGACAATTACTGACTGATATGTGGTGACAGACAATTACTGACTGATATGTGGTGACAGACAATTACTGACTGATATGAGGTGACAGACAATTACTGACTGATATGTGGTGTCAGACAGTTACTGACTGATATGAGGTGACAATTACTGACAGATATGTGGTGACAGACAATTACTGACTGATATGAGGTGACAGACAATTACTGACTGATATGAGGTGACAATTACTGACTGATATGAGGTGACAGACAATTAAGGACTGATATGAGGTGACAGACAATTACTGACTGATATGAGGTGACAGACAATTACTGACTGATATGAGAGACATTACTGACTGATATGAGGTGACAGACAATTATGGACTGATATGAGGCGACAGACAATTACTGACTGATATGAGGTGACAGACAATAACTGACTGATATAAGGTGACAGACAATTACTGACTGATATGAGGTGACAGACAATTACTGACTGATATGAGAGACATTACTGACTAATATGAGGTGACAGACAATTACTGACTGATATGAGAGACATTACTGACTGATATGAGGTGACAATTACTGACTGATATGAGGTGACAGACAATTACTGACTGATATGAGAGACATTACTGACTGATATGTGGTGACAGACAATTACTGACTGATATGAGGTGACAGACAATTACTGACAGATATGAGAGACATTACTGACTGATATGAGGTGACAGACAATTACTGACTGATATGAGAGACATTACTGACTGATATGAGGTGACAGACAATTACTGACTGATATGAGAGACATTACTGACTGATATGAGGTGACAGACAATTACTGACTGATATGAGAGACATTACTGACTGATATGAGGTGACAGACAATTACTGACTGATATGAGGTGACAGACAATTACTGACTGATATGAGAGACATTACTGACTGATATGAGGTGACAGACAATTACTGACTGATATGAGAGACATTACTGACTGATATGAGGTGACAGACAATTACTGACTGATATGATGTGACAGACAATTACTGACTGATATGAGGTGACAGACAATTACTGACTGATATGAGGTGACAATTACTGACTGATATGTGGTGACAGACAATTACTGACTGATATGTGGTAACAGACAATTACTGACTGATATGATGTGACAGACAATTACTGACTGATATGAGGTGACAGACAATTACTGACTGATATGAGGTGACAGACAATTACTGACTGATATGAGGTGACAATTACTGACTGATATGAGGTGACAGACAATTACTGACTGATATGAGGTGACAATTACTGACTGATATGAGGTGACAGACAATTACTGACTAATATGAGGTGACAATTACTGACTGATATGTGGTGACAGACAATTACTGACTGATATGAGGTGACAGACAATTACTGACTGATATGAGGTGACAGACAATTACTGACTGATATGAGGTGACAGACAATTACTGACTGATATGAGGTGACAATTACTGACTGATATGAGGTGACAATTACTGACTGATATGAGGTGACAGACAATTACTGACTGATATGAGGTGACAGACAATTACTGACTGATATGAGGTGACAGACAATTACTGACTAATATGAGGTGACAGACAATTACTGACTGATATGAGGTGACAATTACTGACTGATATGAGAGACATTACTGACTGATATGAGGTGACAGACAATTACTGACTAATATGAGGTGACAGACAATTACTGACTGATATGAGGTGACAGACAATTACTGACTGATATGAGGTGACAGACAATTACTGACTGATATGTGGTGACAGACAATTACTGACTGATATGAGAGACATTACTGACTGATATGAGGTGACAGACAATTACTGACTAATATGAGGTGACAGACAATTACTGACTGATATGAGGTGACAGACAATTACTGACTGATATGAGGTGACAGACAATTACTGACTGATATGTGGTGACAGACAATTACTGACTGATATGAGGTGACAATTACTGACTGATATGAGGTGACAGACAATTACTGACTGATATGAGGTGACAGACAATTACTGACTGATATGAGGTGACAGACAATTACTGACTGATATGTGGTGACAGACAATTACTGACTGATATGTGGTGACAGACAATTACTGACTGATATGAGGTGACAGACAATTACTGACTGATATGTGGTGTTAGACAGTTACTGACTGATATGAGGTGACAATTACTGACAGATATGTGGTGACAGACAATTACTGACTGATATGAGGTGACAGACAATTACTGACTGATATGAGGTGACAATTACTGACTGATATGAGGTGACAGACAATTAAGGACTGATATGAGGTGACAGACAATTACTGACTGATATGAGGTGACAGACAATTACTGACTGATATGAGAGACATTACTGACTGATATGAGGTGACAGACAATTATGGACTGATATGAGGCGACAGACAATTACTGACTGATATGAGGTGACAGACAATAACTGACTGATATGAGGTGACAGACAATTACTGACTGATATGAGGTGACAGACAATTACTGACTGATATGAGAGACATTACTGACTAATATGAGGTGACAATTACTGACTGATATGAGGTGACAGACAATTACTGACTGATATGAGGTGACAGACAATTACTGACTGATATGAGAGACATTACTGACTGATATGAGGTGACAATTACTGACTGATATGAGGTGACAGACAATTACTGACTGATATGAGAGACATTACTGACTGATATGTGGTGACAGACAATTACTGACTGATATGAGGTGACAGACAATTACTGACAGATATGAGAGACATTACTGACTGATATGAGGTGACAGACAATTACTGACTGATATGAGAGACATTACTGACTGATATGAGGTGACAGACAATTACTGACTGATATGAGAGACATTACTGACTGATATGAGGTGACAGACAATTACTGACTGATATGAGAGACATTACTGACTGATATGAGGTGACAGACAATTACTGACTGATATGATGTGACAGACAATTACTGACTGATATGAGGTGACAGACAATTACTGACTGAAATGAGGTGACAATTACTGACTGATATGAGGTGACAGACAATTACTGACTGATATGAGAGACATTACTGACTGATATGAGGTGACAGACAATTACTGACTGATATAAGGTGACAGACAATTACTGACTGATATGAGGTGATACACTGACAACATTAAAAAGTAATGATTTTGACAATTACTGACATGAGGAGACAGGTTTTTACCTTCGCTGTCATCTGTTGTGTCACTTTGGTCGGTTGGGAGCTCCATTGGCCCCATTTTGGGAGATTTGTCTATAGGCGTGAATTCTAAACCCTCTGGGGAATCAACTTCCTCAATATCTCCAATTGGAACAGCTTCAGACGAGTCCGTATTTTCACACTGAAACATAAGTTATATCAAAGACTGAACAACAACAACATTAAAAGATGGAATGAATAACCAACTAAAACAGAATTGTTTCATTACATCTGCATACTTTTAAGGTGTCAATGATAAAAATGTTACTGTTACCATGACAACATTCATTATATTGTCATGGCAACCCATCTTCTTTTCATACCTTACTGTTTTCTTCCACTGTTTCTTCAATCCCTGAAGGTGGCGCCACATAATCGTCATCACTCGAAGTTAAACCAAGCTCTTCTCCATAGCTATAATGAACCCACTGCCAGAGTTCCTTGGGGGACATAGGCTTGGCAAATGAAAATGAAATTAAAGTTTTATTTTACGTTATTCACAAGTTCATCAAAATAAGATTGTAAAGGTTTTACTATCGCATCACTAAAGAATCAATTGTTGTTTTGGATGTTTGAGTAAAACCTTCAAGGAAAAACCAAAACTTCGGTCAGTAGGAAATAATTTGGATGTTTGAGTAAAACCTACAGGATACAGTAGGGTTTAGTTATTGTGATATACTGTAAATACTTTAGGATACAGTAGGGTTTAGTTATTGTGATATGCTGTAAATACTTTAGGATACAGTAGGGTTTAGTTATTGTGATATGCTGTAAATATTTTAGGATACAGTAAGGTTTAGTTATTGTGATATGCTGTAAATATTTTAGGATACAGTAGGGTTTAGTTATTGTGATATGCTGTAAATACTTTAGGATACAGTAGGGTTTAGTTATTGTGATATGCTGTAAATATTTTAGGATACAGTAGGGTTTAGTTATTGTGATATGCTGTAAATACTTTAGGATACAGTAGGGTTTAGTTATTGTGATATGCTGTAAATATTTTAGGATACAGTAAGGTTTAGTTATTGTGATATGCTGTAAATATTTTAGGATACAGTAAGGTTTAGTTATTGTGACAGTAGGGTTTAGTTATTGTGATATGCTGTAAATATTTTAGGATACAGTAAGGTTTAGTTATTGTGACAGTAAGGTTTAGTTATTGTGATATGCTGTAAATATTTTAGGATACAGTAAGGTTTAGTTATTGTGATATGCTGTAAATATTTTAGGATACAGTAGGGTTTAGTTATTGTGATATGCTGTAAATATTTTAGGATACAGTAGGGTTATTTATAACTCTGAGTTTAAAAAAGCTGAAATCTTTATGATTTCAACATTTTTAAGGCTTCATCTCATTGTACAAAAAGCCTGATATCCTGTCATCAGAGAAACAAGAGGCTTGTGCATCATAATGGTCATCTGACTACACCGATTTGTAAATGTTAGTGGAAACATCACATGAATAAAACAATAACAACCCATTAATGATATCAGCTTCTAATCTCCAACAACAGTCCCATTTGCCTTAATGGTCATCTGACTACAAAAACTTTCAGCAGGGAGAAGGATTAGTTTTTCTACTTTGAATGAATTCGTACTTAGAAGCTGTTTTCCATGATGCAGATGGTAGTTTTGGTAAACAATAGGTAATTCAACAGTAAAGTTTGAGATTCCAACCAAGTTTTAGCTCAATGGCACCAATGAAACTGGCGAAGAAATTAGAAATATATTTTTCAAGATGGTAACCATGGTGGCCATCTTGGATTTCAGACATACCCTGAAAATAACAACACTTGGTCAGGACCATCTCAGGACCATTTCATGCAAATTTAAACTTAATCCCACTAGGGGAACTTGCGATTAAGTTTGAAATGTCAAAAGTTTACGCACGGTGGACGATGACAGACGAAGCATGATGGCTATAGGTCAGAAGACCTAAAAATTAAAGCTTGATCTGGACCATTCGAATTTGCAAGCAAGTTTGAGCAAGATTCCACCAGTGGAACATGAGAAGAAGTTTTTAATGAGAAAATTTTGTGCACAGTTTAAGTATAGACAAAAAGGAAGGAGGACAGAAAGGAAGGAGGGCAGAAAGGAAGGAGGACAGAAAGGAAGGAGGGCAGAAAGGAAGGAGGGCAGAAAGGAAGGAGGGCAGAACAGAAGGAGGACAAAAAGGAAGACACCAATACAAATGATCTCCTGGTTTTTAACAGACAATTCATTATAACCATTCCACTACAATATTCAGACTTCAACTTTGATCACAAGTAAAACATTAAAACAAAAAATTCTTTAGTTTGTGAAACAAAACTTTGACTTCATCATTGTCAGTTTTGAATATCGTTACCTAATAGAATTATGAATGAGTAAGATATCTGCCATGTGAATTTCCTCTGTCACTGGTTAATGCTATTTATAGAGTGGATGACTGATTATGAACAGGTAGTTTATAGCTAATGGTAGGGGTGGAAGTAACCTCACAGAAACAAGTGAGTACATGTGCCACATTCTAGGTTAAACACATTAAACAAACACATAGCATTGGGTCATTTAATAGGCCTCCTTGTAACATAAGACTAGTGTTTTACGAGGTCTTTTGGGGAAGTCCAATTTGTCATTTTGAAAAATATTAACTGTATAAGAGATTTACATACCAATAATTCTTTTATGAGAGGAAGGCTTATCAGTACTATGGATAACAGGTCCTATAACACACCAGTCCTATAGATAACAGGTTCTATAACACACCAGTCCTATAGATTACAGGTTCTATAACACACCAGTCCTATAGATTACAGGTTCTATAACACACCAGTCCTATAGATTACAGGTTCTATAACACACCAGTCCTATAACACACCAGTCCTATAGATAACAGGTCCTATAACACACCAGTCCTATAGATTACAGGTCCTATAACACACCAGTCCTATAGATTACAGGTCCTAAAACACACCAGTCCTATAACACACCAGTCCTATAGATTACATGTCCTATAACACACCAGTCCTATAGATAACAGGTCCTATAACACACCAGTCCTATAGATTACAGGTCACATAACACACCAGTCCTATAGATTACAGGTCCTATAGCACACCAGTCCCAGTCCTATAACACACCAGTCCTATAGATTACAGGTCCTATAACACACCAGTCCTATAAAACACCAGTCCTATAGATTACAGGTCCTATAACACACCAGTCCTATAACACACCAGTCCTATAGATTAATGGTCCTATAACACACCAGTCCTATAGATTACAGGTCCTATAACACACCAGTCCTATAGATTACAGGACCTATAACACACCAGTCCTATAGATTACAGGTTCTATAACACACCAGTCCTATAGATTACAGGTTCTATAACACACCAGTCCTATAGATTACAGGTTCTATAACACACCAGTCCTATAACACACCAGTCCTATAGATAACAGGTCCTATAACACACCAGTCCTATAGATTACAGGTCCTATAACACACCAGTCCTATAGATTACAGGTCCTAAAACACACCAGTCCTATAACACACCAGTCCTATAGATTACATGTCCTATAACACACCAGTCCTATAGATAACAGGTCCTATAACACACCAGTCCTATAGATTACAGGTCACATAACACACCAGTCCTATAGATTACAGGTCCTATAGCACACCAGTCCCAGTCCTATAACACACCAGTCCTATAGATTACAGGTCCTATAACACACCAGTCCTATAAAACACCAGTCCTATAGATTACAGGTCCTATAACACACCAGTCCTATAACACACCAGTCCTATAGATTAATGGTCCTATAACACACCAGTCCTATAGATTACAGGTCCTATAACACACCAGTCCTATAGATTACAGGACCTATAACACACCAGTCCTACAGATTATAGGTCCTATAACACACCAGTCCTATAACACACCAGTCCTATAGATTACAGGTCCTATAACACACCAGTCCTATAAAACACCAGTCCTATAGATTACAGGTCCTATAACACACCAGTCCTATAACACACCAGTCCTATAGATTAATGGTCCTATAACACACCAGTCCTATAGATTACAGGTCCTATAACACTCCAGTCCTATAGATTACAGGTCCTATAACACACCAGTCCTATAACACACCAGTCCTATAGATTACAGGTTATATAACACACCAGTCCTATAACACACCAGTCCTATAGATTACATGTCCTATAACACACCAGTCCTATAGATTACAGGTCCTATAACACACCAGTCCTATAGATTACATGTCCTATAACACACCAGTCCTATAGATTACAGGTCCTATAACACACCAGTCCTATAGATAACAGGTCCTATAGCACACCAGTCCTATAGATTACAGGTCCTATAACACACCAGTCCTATAGATTAATGGTCCTATAACACACGAGTTCTATAGATAACAGGTCCTATAACACATCAGTCCTTTAGCACACCAGTCCTATAGATTAATGGTCCTATAACACACCAGCCCTATAGATTAATGGTCCTATAACACACCAGCCCTATAGATTAATGGTCCTATAACACACCAGTCCTTTAGCACACCAGTCCTATAGATTAATGGTCCTATAACACACCAGTCCTATAACACACCAGCCCTATAGATTAATGGTCCTATAACACACCAGTCCTTTAGCACACCAGTCCTATAGATTAATGGTCCTATAACACACCAGTCCTATAGATTAATGGTCCTATAACACACCAGTCCTATAACACAACAGTCCTATAGATTATAGACAGTAAAAACACTGGAGACATAGTTACATACTTCAGTACACTTACTTAATATCACCTGATATTACACAATCCCCAGGTTCAGAATTCATTCAATGCACGATCAGGTTTTGAAGACTGATTTATCAACAAATACAATTCAGATTGAGGTATTGTTGAAGTATTGTATATACACACTGGTTTTAAATGAGTTATGTTCACATAAGAATTAAAAACAATAATTGAATTTCGAACAGAATGTTAAAATACCAGTAATATAAACATACCTGGTGAGGCCTGGCCTTATCCACAGTACACACAAACTTAATATATAATTATTTAACATGTAATTAGTAGACAAACTGTATTTAGATATAGACTATAAATGAATACAAGTTTTACATTGAACTTGTCATAAAATATAATTATACAAACTTACCCGCTAATGACGGATTAACCATATCCTACCTGTACACCCGTCGGGTCCCAGTGCATACATGTATAAACCTCTACAACACTACATCGATGTAGAGGTACTCACAGACAATGGACTAGTACTGGGGCCGATCAATTGATCTGGTCCACTCTATAGATTTTACATTAAAGTTTGAAGAACTCCAGGTAAGTGTACAACCGAAACAGCTCATAGTACGATCAGCTTTACATGCTGTTTAAACAATTTCTATATAAAAGCTTCTACATAGTTTTTAATAAGTCAGTATTTCTTATTCAGGACCACACAACCAGGTTAGCTTATTATTATTATTATTTTCTTTTTGTTAATTTCATCTTTTTTTTTTTTTTTAAACAAATATCAGATGAAAGTAGGAAATAATTTTGTTGTCAAACTGACAATGCTTTAAACTACTGGACTGGGTTTGTTGAATCTTTCATTATATATACACATATACATAAATATATATATATATATACACACACATATATATACATATATATATATATATAGAAAAAACTTGATTTGACGAGATGAGAGTAAATTATAAATAAAAATGATTTTTGACAAAAGAAGAAAGACGTTACATTTTGCACTAGCGCTTTCACTGTATTAGATCTTCAGGTGCATAGTATATATATATATATATATATATATATATATATACCTAGACTGAGTCTATCATGCTTTGTTGGATTTCCAATACACAACAAAGTATTACTGATAAATAATGTTTTAAGTAAAATCTAACAAAGATATTAAGAGATTTTCAAAAATCATAACCAAATAAACACTAGTGGCTCGAAGGCCTTAACAGTCACCTGGATTCTATAAATAGGCTTTAACAGTCACCTGGATTCTATAAATAGGCTTTAACAGTCACCTGGATTCTATAAATAGGCTTAAACAGTCACCTGAATATTTACATATTTGTGTTTTACTCATATTTTTTTTTAACTTTGAGTATTATCTACTACAATAAGTTAAAGTGTTTTAAAGTGTAGTTTTAAAGTTAAAAAAAAATATGAGTAAAACACAAATATGTAAGATATATTTACATGTTTGAACAAATTGTCCTAATTTATCCTTTATCTGACAAGAGTTTGATAAAGACTTTTTGACTTCTAGACAATGAAATGAAAACTTTTATCTGACAAGAGTTTGATAAAGACTTTTTGACTTCTAGACAATGAAATGAAAACTTTTATCTGACAAGAGTTTGATAAAGACTTTTTGACTTCTAGACAATGAAATGAAAACTTTTATCTGACAAGAGTTTGATAAAGACTTTTTGACTTCTAGACAATGAAATGAAAACTTTTATCTGACAAGAGTTTGATAAAGACTTTTTGACTTCTAGACAATGAAATGAAAACTTTTATCTGACAAGAGTTTGATAAAGACTTTTTGACTTCTAGACAATGAAATGAAAACTTTTATCTGACAAGAGTTTGATAAAGACTTTTTGACTTCTAGACAATGAAATGAAAACTTTTATCTGACAAGAGTTTGATAAAGACTTTTTGACTTCTAGACAATGAAATGAAAACTTTTATCTGACAAGAGTTTGATAAAGACTTTTTGACTTCTAGACAATGAAATGAAAACTTTTATCTGACAAGAGTTTGATAAAGACTTTTTGACTTCTAGACAATGAAATGAAAACTTTTATCTGACAAGAGTTTGAAAAGACTTTTTGACTTCTAGACAATGAAATGAAAACTTTTATCTGACAAGAGTTTGATAAAGACTTTTTGACTTCTAGACAATGAAATGAAAACTTTTATCTGACAAGAGTTTGAAAAGACTTTTTGACTTCTAGACAATGAAATGAAAACTTTTATCTGACAAGAGTTTGAAAAGACTTTTTGACTTCTAGACAATGAAATGAAAACTTTTATCTGACAAGAGTTTGATAAAGACTTTTTGACTTCTAGACAATGAAATGAAAACTTTTATCTGACAAGAGTTTGAAAAGACTTTTTGACTTCTAGACAATGAAATGAAAACTTTTATCTGACAAGAGTTTGATAAAGACTTTTTGACTTCTAGACAATGAAATGAAAACTTTTATTCCTATATAAGAGATTTAAAGATAATAAAAGAAATAATGATATATATTTAGGCCATATGGCAATTGTTACATGAAACATTGTTAAAAGATACAAAATAATGTATACATACCAACATACATATATATTATTTCCTTGTTGCAAGATAATTACAAACATAACTAACCAACATTATTGATGTCATTTTACCAGGGATGACCCATCAAAGCCTAGAAGGCTTATTCCCTATAGGGTTCCTGATGACTGAATTAGGTTTCAGTGTGACAAACTTAAACTTGAACTCTAAACTTCATATTTTTTTAATTCATTAGCTTTGAATCTATAATATATAATAGTGTTTTAAGAATTGTCTCTAAACTTAATATTTTTTTGATTCACTAGATTTGAATCTATAATATATAATAGTGTTTTGAGAATTGAACTGGTATTAGAAACTAAAATATTGTGTGCTTTTGTTAAAAGTACATAAATTTGTTTTCAAATTCTTCCTTTTGTTTTGGTCTGTGAAATACAGACAGTAAAAAGTAAGAATTATCTCCCTTTGGATAATAACAATTCTATAGGATCACATCCCCACCAGAGAATGTAACATTACAAACCAACTATAAAACACATTATTTATGTTGTCATTACAATCCATAATAAGTTGAACATTTATAAAAAGCACCGAATCATTTTACTGAACCACAGATCCTAGAAAGATCCTTGTCTCTATCAGTACATGACAATTCATAATTCTATTTAAGTTTGATCTGGTAACTCTACATTAGATCTTGATTCCGAAAAAATTTTGTCAAAAAATTTATGGGATTGTACGTGTTATTAAACAAATATTGTGAAAATCCTTTTAACACAATAAATATTTTGATATTTCAACTGGTCAGGTGGCACAGTGGTAACGCACTCACCTTTCACCTAGCTGTTCGGAATTCAATTCCCGGAACAGATGAGAAAATGTATGGGTTTGAATGCCCGACCTCGTGGGTTTCCCCAGGTCCTCTGGTTTCCTCCATCAGTATGACCATCTCATCCAGGCCAACAAGACTGATTAATATAAGCTGAAAGCTTGTTTCACAATTGTCGTAAAATATATATTGCTGGTTTTTTTCATTCACTTTTTTATTCAACTAGTTCTCAACTCACCTGCTCTAGAAGTGCATTCTGCCATACACGAAACAGCATCATGTAGGTTTTATCCCGAGCACCAAATGAGGTGAAGAAATGTTTCTCCTTGTCTGTAGCTATCTGTATAGCATTAGGAATTACTCTTGCTGTCTTTTCCTTTGTCACTGCTGTTATTTCTTTACATGGGATGGTCAGCTGAAAAATTAAAAGGCTTCATTTTAATGTTAAATCCATTTATCTTCAGTCAATATTAAGTTTGTCACAAATTACAACTTAATTCCTGCCTCTTGTGTTCATTATCTACATCAGAAAATAATTAAAATTGGAAGAAAAAAAATTAAATAAAAAAGATCAAAGATGATTATTTTTTCAATGTTCAGTTCTATGTCCATGTACATGCAAATATTTCTAATTAAATCTGTTTGTACAATATCTAGAGAAGAAAACATATTCCATCAACATTTATGGCAACTTTTGTATTTCAATCCAGAGACAAAGTATAAAAACTTCCAGTTCTCATGTTGATATATGTAGTTTTTGTTGGAGTTGTCTCCCCTGTACTACCTGTCTTAAAATCTTGTTAGCCCACAACAGTTCTATAAAATAAGTTGTTTTTGTCTTCCTAAAATCAGTCACAAAATTATCTCTTTAATTCATCAGAACAACAATCTGTATCAAAACAGTTGACAAATTACCATTAGCTAGTTTGTGCTAGGGAACATTTCAATACATTGAACAATTCCAGCTGTCACAGGTTTAAGTTGTAGACAGTCAGGTACCAGTAAGGACTTTGTCAATACATTGAACAATTCCAGCTATCACAGGTTTAAGTTTTAGACAGTCAGGTACCAGTAAGGACTTTGTCAATACATTGAACAATTCCAGCTGTCACAGATTTAAGTTTTAGACAGTCAGGTTCCAGTAAGGATTGTGTCACTAAATTGAACAATTCCAGCTGTCACATATTTAAGTTTTAGACAGTCAGGCTCCAGTAAGGGTTGTGTCACTACATTGAACAATTCCAGCTGTCACAGGTTTAAGTTTTAGAAAGTCAGGTACCAGTAAGGATTGTGTCAATACATTGAACTATTCCAGATGTCACAGGTTTAAGTTGTAGACAGTCAGGTACCAGTAAGGATTGTGTCAATACATTGAACAATTCCAGATGTCACATGTTTAAGTTTTAGACAGTCAGGTACCAGTAAGGACTTTGTCAATACATTGAACAATTCCAGATGTCACATGTTTAAGTTTTAGACAGTCAGGTACCAGTAAGGACTTTGTCAATACATTGAACAATTCCAGCTGTCACAGGTTTAAGTTTTAGACAGTCAGGTACCAGTAAGGACTTTGTCAATACATTGAACAATTCCAGCTGTCACAGGTTTAAGTTTTAGACAGTCAGGTACCAGTAAGGATTGTGTCAATACATTGAACAATTCCAGGTTTCACAGGTTTAAGTTGTAGACAGTCAGGTTCCAGTAAGGATTGTGTCAATACATTGAACAATTCCAGATGTCACAGGTTTAAGTTGTAGACAGTCAGGTACCAGTAAGGATTGTGTCAATACATTGAACAATTCCAGCTGTCACAGGTTTAAGTTTTAGACAGTCAGGTACCAGTAAGGACTTTGTCAATACATTGAACAATTCCAGCTGTCACAGGTTTAAGTTTTAGACAGTCAGGTACCAGTAAGGATTGTGTCAATACATTGAACAATTCCAGCTGTCACAGGTTTAAGTTTTAGACAGTCAGGTACCAGTAAGGATTGTGTCAATACATTGAACAATTCCAGCTGTCACAGGTTTAAGTTTTAGACAGTCAGGTACCAGTAAGGACTTTGTCAATACATTGAACAATTCCAGCTATCACAGGTTTAAGTTTTAGACAGTCAGGTACCAGTAAGGACTTTGTCAATACATTGAACAATTCCAGGTTTCACAGGTTTAAGTTTTAGACAGTCAGGTACCAGTAAGGATTGTGTCAATACATTGAACAATTCCAGCTGTCACAGGTTTAAGTTTTAGACAGTCAGGTACCAGTAAGGACTTTGTCAATACATTGAACAATTCCAGCTGTCACAGGTTTAAGTTTTAGACAGTCAGGTACCAGTAAGGATAGTGTCAATACATTGAACAATTCCAGCTGTCACAGGTTTAAGTTTTAGACAATCAGGTTCCAGTAAGGACTTTGTCAATACATTGAACAATTCCAGCTGTCACAGGTTTAAGTTTTAGACAGTCAGGTACCAGTAAGGACTTTGTCAATACATTGAACAATTCCAGATGTCACAGGTTTAAGTTTTAGACAGTCAGGTTCCAGTTAGGACTTTGTCAATACATTGAACAATTCCAGCTGTCACAGGTTTAAGTTTTAGACAGTCAGGTACCAGTAAGGATTGTGTCAATACATTGAACAATTCCAGATGTCACAGGTTTAAGTTTTAGACAGTCAGGTACCAGTAAGGACTTTGTCAATACATTGAACAATCCAGCTGTCACAGGTTTAAGTTTTAGACAGTCAGGTACCAGTAAGGATTGTGTCAATACATTGAACAATTCCAGCTGTCACAGGTTTAAGTTTTAGACAGTCAGGTTCCAGTTAGGACTTTGTCAATACATTGAACAATTCCAGCTGTCACAGGTTTAAGTTTTAGACAGTCAGGTACCAGTAAGGACTTTGTCATTACATTGAACAATTCCAGCTGTCACAGGTTTAAGTTTTAGACAATCAGGTTCCAGTAAGGACTTTGTCAATACATTGAACAATCCAGCTGTCACAGGTTTAAGTTTTAGACAATCAGGTTCCAGTAAGGACTTTGTCAATACATTGAACAATTCCAGCTGTCACAGGTTTAAGTTTTAGACAATCAGGTTCCAGTAAGGACTTTGTCAATACATTGAACAATTCCAGCTGTCACAGGTTTAAGTTTTAGACAATCAGGTTCCAGTAAGGACTTTGTCAATACATTGAACAATTCCAGCTGTCACAGGTTTAAGTTTTAGACAATCAGGTTCCAGTAAGGACTTTGTCAATACATTGAACAATTCCAGCTGTCACAGGTTTAAGTTTTAGACAATCAGGTTCCAGTAAGGACTTTGTCAATACATTGAACAATTCCAGCTGTTACAGGTTTAAGTTTTAGACAGTCAGGTTCCAGTAAGGACTTTGTCAATACATTGAACAATTCCAGATGTCACAGGTTTAAGTTTTAGACAGTCAGGTTCCAGTTAGGACTTTGTCAATACATTGAACAATTCCAGCTGTCACAGGTTTAAGTTTTAGACAGTCAGGTACCAGTAAGGACTTTGTCACTACATTGAACAATTCCAGCTGTCACAGGTTTAAGTTTTAGACAGTCAGGTACCAGTAAGGATTGTGTCACTACATTGAACAATTCCAGCTATCACAAGTTTAAGTTTTAGACAGTCAGGTACCAGTAAAGACTTTGTCAATACATTGAACAATTCCAGCTGTCACAGGTTTAAGTTTTAGACAGTCAGGTACCAGTAAGGACTTTGTCAATTCATTGAACAATTCCAGCTGTCACAGGTTTAAGTTTTAGACAGTCAGGTACCAGTAAGGACTTTGTCAATACATTGAACAATTCTAGCTGTCACAGGTTTAAGTTTTAGACAGTCAGGTACCAGTAAGGACTTTGTCAATACATTGAACAATCCAGCTGTCACAGGTTTAAGTTTTAGACAGTCAGGTACCAGTAAGGATTGTGTCAATACATTGAACAATTCCAGCTGTCACAGGTTTAAGTTTTAGACAGTCAGGTACCAGTAAGGATTGTGTCAATACATTGAACAATTCCAGCTGTCACAGGTTTAAGTTTTAGACAGTCAGGTACCAGTAAGGACTTTGTCAATACATTGAACAATTCCAGCTGTCACAGGTTTAAGTCTCAACAATCAGGATTACAGCCTATCACATTGAGGAAGTGTTTGAATATGATTTTTTTAATTAACATACTTTTATCCTTAGAGATGAGATTAGTTGATGATATTATTGTATTCCTTTCCCTATTTAACAAATTGTTGAAGAATTTAAAAATTTTTTTCTTTCTTTTTCATCAGAGATATAATTACAGTCTGTAAGACGTCAATGCCCTACTTCCTTTACACAGAAGTATAAATGCTTGACAAATTTCTATAAATTGTGATGGCAACCTTGACCTTACACTCCTACAATATATACTCATCTGATATCATCATATCTTGAAGGTTAAGTAATGAAGACTTTATAAAACATTTTTTTACTCAGAGTAACAATAATCTGAACCATTGACCCTGGGATGTGATATGCGATCCAAAACAAGCCATTTTAGCAAGGAAGCATTGTACGAGGTTTGATTGGCTAAAGCAAACTTGAGTTATCACAGGGATAGAAACAGTGACCTTGACCTATGATCTTCAAAACTGTAAAGCAAACACTTTCAGTAAGGAACAATCAGGAGATATTTCAGTGTAGGAGACAAGGTCAAATGACCAGTACATACCACAGAACAATCAGGAGATATTTCAGTGTAGGAGACAAGGTCAAATGACCAGTACATACCACAGAACAATCAGGAGATATTTCAGTGTAGGACACAAGTTCAACTGACCAGTACATACCACAGAACAATCAGGAGATATTTTAGTGTAGGAGACAAGGTCAAATGACCAGTACATACCACAGAACAATCAGGAGATATTTCAGAGTAGGACACAAGTTCAAATGACCAGTACATACCACAGTCTCCCAACGGAAAATGTTGGCGTAGAAGCAAACCCAATTCTGTGTGAGAAACATTCGGCCGTGAACCAGGATGTCTTTCTGAAGTGCACATGAGTAGTCTGTAAAGAAAGAGAAAAATCATCATTAACAGACATACCCACTCTCTGTATTAATGTCGCAATGTTTAACTTTGCTATAATGTAACTTACATCAATCTTAGCAGGGACACAGGGTACAAAAACAAAAGGCTGGCTAATGTTTCGTGTTAAAAATGAATTGAATGATTTTAATTCAACTATACATTGGGCAAAAGTGTAACAGTAATGTGAGTTTGGGATAAGATTCAACAGTTTGGCAGATATTTTATCAGAAAAGATGTTTGTCTTTCACAATATACAGTCAAACAGAGGAATACTCTGAAGAAGAGAAAGTGTGAGACTTGCCTACTGTATAATGTGTTTTGTATCTGGAGTACATTTTTTCTGTCCTTGATTAAAACACTAAGAGACATAGGTACATGCCATCAGAATCACAGAAATGTGTTCTTACATGTTCCTCTAATGACTCTCACACATCTGTGTTTGATAATTCTATGCCTAATTCTTTGTACGGCATATATCACAAAATCATGATGGCTTCAAATTAAAATCATTCTGAGCAGTAAGGGATGTCAGTATAAGCTGAAAGTTAAATAATATTTAATGATATTTACTACACACACAGACAAATACTAAATTTGTGTGTGGAATTCTGGGGTACACAGACATTGGTGGACAACCTCAGAGGAAGAACTTATTTCTATTTTTTTTATATAATGATTTGGCAAATTAAGATGTTCTAACTGCAATGTTTTTGGGAAAGTGTTTCATGTATCAAATTTGAAAGAAAATAAAACAAGAGGCCCAATAGGCCTGCATTGCTCACCTATATTCCATGCATTTATAAACACATCAACATTTCATATCATTGACATTCAAAGTCTTTGTTGATGAAAAGATGTCATTTAAAAATTTCAACAAAATTGACCTCTGTGATCTGAGGAGCTGTCAGCACTAAAACATTTTCCACATTTCATCAATGTCATGTATTAGGAACCATCTCTTACAAATTTCTGTATACCAGGAAATTTTCACCCCCGTTAAATTTCCATCCTTTTTGTCCAAGAACTGGGAGGGTGAATTTAAGATGGGGGTGAAAATTTGTTCCACCTATTTAAACCTTTCATATAATTCTCAGTGGACAAAGTACATATATGGCGAATTTGTGTATAACGGTATGAGGATGAAAATATCCCTACCATATCATTGATATATAACTGACAATTTAACATTAACTTTGGTCTGAAAAATTGGAGAGAATTCCAAAACACTTCAAGTAGGGCTATACAGTCACCCCAGAGACAGTGAAGATATCATCTGGTTGGCTTTTAGTCATTAAGTCAACATATATAAAACACCAAACATTCCCACTGATGGCCAAATTTCCTGTCTAGATACCATTCAGTTAATAAAGGTCAACAATGCAATTGATTTGTCTGTAGTTTGGTAGCTGGAGATCTACAATTAAATTGTTTGCTGATATTGACAAACATATTGGAGACTTGTAACTTTAACTTCAATATCCCAGAGGACAAAACTGAACTAGAAAAACCTAAGTCTCCTAGATCAGTATACCAATGCAAACTTTCTGCCAGATATTGCTCTAAGACAGTCACATACTGCAAGACCTGTCTATAAAGTCAACACAGTGAGCAAAAAGTGCCCTATATAGACAGGCGACCTTTACACAGAGGTATACATACTAAAATTTGTATAACATTTCCAGGGTGACACATGTGACCTTTCCCAAACAGGTATTTATTTTCTACAGGTGAACTTATAAGACAGATATTTGTAACATACAGATGATCTTAATTGACAGGTATTTGTTATATACAGGTGGCCTTAATTGACAGGTATTTGTTATATACAGGTGGCCTTAATTGACAGGTATTTGTTATATACAAGTGGCCTTAATTGACAGGTATTTGTTATATACAGGTGGCCTTAATTGACAGGTATTTGTTATATAAAGGTGGCCTTAATTGACAGGTATTTGTTATATAAAGGTGGCCTTAATTGACAGGTATCTGTTATATACATGTGGCCTTAATTGACAGGTATTTGTTATATACAGGTGGCCTTAATTGACAGGTATCTTTTATACACAGATGGCCTTAATTGACAGGTATTTGTTATATACAGGTGGCCTTAATTGACAGGTATTTGTTATATACAGGTGGCCTTAATTGACAGGTATTTGTTATATACAGGTGGCCTTAATTGACAGGTATTTGTTATATACAGGTGAACTTAATTGACAGGTATTTGTTATATTCAGGTGGCCTTAATTGACAGGTATTTGTTATATTCAGGTGGCCTTAATTGACAGGTATTTGTTTTATACAGGTGAACTTAATTGACAGGTATTTGTTATATACAGGTGGCCTTAATTGACAGGTATTTGTTTTATACACAGATGGCCTTATTGACAGGTATCTGTTATATACAGGTGGCCTTAATTGACAGGTATTTGTTTTATACACAGATGGCCTTATTGACAGGTATCTGTTATATACAGGTGGCCTTAATTGACAGGTATTTGTTATATACAGGTGAACTTAATTGACAGGTATCTGTTATACACAGATGGCCTTAATTGACAGGTATTTGTTATATACAAGTGGCCTTAATTGACAGGTATTTGTTATATACAGGTGAACGTAATTGACAGGTATTTGTTATATTCAGGTGGCCTTAATTTACAGGTATTTGTTATATACAAGTGACCTTAATTGACAGGTAAATTCTATATTTCTGTGGTCTATAATTCAGCCAACATATGAATTTAACAATATGGACATTATACAGTTAATATAATCTATTTTCTACTACATTTTGTGAAGTCAAGGCCACTCATATATAATTCTGGTGATAAGCGAAGCTGTTTCTTTATTTTTGATTTCTTGGTTCTTTCCTTACAGCTAAAAAAAGAACATCCATCTTTCCATCATGATTTGTCGGCATACCTGGTTATCTTCTATATCAAACACGAAAACCCTTCCAGAATAAATAATCAAGAGAGTTTTAAGGGTTTTTTTAAATTTTTGTTCTGTCTAGATGTTGATGTCATCTGGTACAATACTTTATAAAGAACAGCTGTTCTGTAAGTTTACCGTAAACTGTGCATTCCTCCAAAATAATTTCACACAAACATCAAGTGGTAAAGTAATCAATCAATAAAGTCTCCTGTAATACTAATCATCGTAACAATCACGTCATCAATAAATATTTACCCATCCCATTACAACAGCTGTACACAGCCAATATAAACAGCAGCATTACATCCAACTCGTCTGTATTATGACATCACAATGCTTGTGCCCGCTATTCCATTTTTCAGCTGTTCCAATTTTTGGCTGTTCACCTTATTGGTTATACTCCATAGTATAAGGGTTTTTCTCCATAGTATAAGGGTTTTACTCCATAGTATAAGGTTTTTTACTCCATAGTATAAGGGTTTTACTCCATAGTATAAGGGTTTTACTCCATAGTATAAGGTTTTTTACTCCATAGTATAAGGGTTTTACTCCATAGTATAAGGGTTTAACTTCATAGTATAAGGGTTTTACTCCATAGTATAAGGGTTTTTCTCCATAGTATAAGGGTTTCTCTCCATAGTATAAGGGTTTTACTCCATAGTATAAGGGTTTTACTACATAGTATAAGGGTTTTTCTCCATAGTATAAGGGTTTTACTCCATAGTATAAGGTTTTTTACTCCATAGTATAAGGGTTTTACTCCATAGTATAAGGGTTTTACTCCATAGTATAGGGTTTTACTCCATAGTATAGGGTTTTTCTCCATAGTATAAGGGTTTTACTCCATAGTATAGGGTTTTTCTCCATAGTATAAGGGTTTTTCTCCATAGTATAAGGGTTTCACTCCATAGTATAAGGGTTTTTCTCCATAGTATAAGGGTTTTACTCCATAGTATAAGGGTTTTTCTCCATAGTATAAGGGTTTTACTCCATAGTATAGGGTTTTTTACTCCATAGTATAAGGGTTTTACTCCATAGTATAAGGGTTTTTCTCCATAGTATTTTTCTCCATAGTATAAGGGTTTTACTCCATAGTATAAGGGTTTTTCTCCATAGTATAAGGGTTTCTCTCAATAGTATAAGGGTTTTACTCCATAGTATAAGGGTTTTTCTCCATAGTATAGGGTTTTACTCAATAGTATAAGGTTTTTTACTCCATAGTATAAGGGTTTTACTCAATAGTATAAGGGTTTTTCTCCATAGTATAAGGGTTACACTCCATAGTATAAGGGTTTTCCTCCATAATATAAGGGTTTTACTCCATAGTATAAGGGTTTTTCTCCATAGTATAAGGGTTTTACTCCATAGTATAGGGTTTTTTACTCCATAGTATAAGGGTTTTACTCCATAGTATAAGGGTTTTTCTCCATAGTATAGGGTTTTTTACTCCATAGTATAAGGGTTTTACTCCATAGTATAAAGGTTTTTCTCCATAGTATTTTTCTCCATAGTATAAGGGTTTTACTCCATAGTATAAGGGTTTTTCTCCATAGTATAAGGGTTTCTCTCCATAGTATAAGGGTTTTACTCCATAGTATAAGGGTTTTACTCCATAGTATAAGGGTTTTTCTCCATAGTATAAGGTTTTTACTCCATAGTATAAGGGTTTTACTCCATAGTATAAGGTTTTTTACTCCATAGTATAAGGTTTTTTACTCCATAGTATAAGGGTTTCTCTCCATAGTATAAGGGTTTCTATCCATAGTATAAGGGTTTTACTCCATAGTATAAGGGTTTTACTCCATAGTATAAGGGTTTTTCTCCATAGTATAAGGTTTTTACTCCATAGTATAAGGGTTTTACTCCATAGTATAAGGTTTTTTACTCCATAGTATAGGGTTTTTCTCCATAGTATAGGGTTTTTCTCCATAGTATAGGGTTTTTCTCCATAGTATAAGGGTTTTACTCCATAGTATAAGGTTTTTTACTCCATAGTATAAGGGTTTTACTCCATAGTATAAGGGTTTTTCTCCATAGTATAGGGTTTTACTCCATAGTATAGGGTTTTTCTCCATAGTATAAGGGTTTTACTCCATAGTATAAGGGTTTTACTCCATAGTATAAGGGTTTTACTCCATAGTATAGGGTTTTTCTCCATAGTATAAGGGTTTTACTCCATAGTATAAGGGTTTTTCTCCATAGTATAGGGTTTTACTCCATAGTATAGGGTTTTTCTCCATAGTATAAGGGTTTTACTCCATAGTATAAGGGTTTTACTCCATAGTATAGGGTTTTTCTCCATAGTATAAGGGTTTTACTCCATAGTATAAGGGTTTTACTCCATAGTATAAGGGTTTTACTCCATAGTATAGGGTTTTTCTCCATAGTATAAGGGTTTTACTCCATAGTATAAGGGTTTTACTCCATAGTATAAGGGTTTTTCTCCATAGTATAAGGTTTTTACTCCATAGTATAAGGGTTTTACTCCATAGTATAAGGTTTTTTACTCCATAGTATAGGGTTTTTCTCCATAGTATAGGGTTTTTCTCCATATTATAGGGTTTTTCTCCATAGTATAAGGGTTTTACTCCATAGTATAATGTTTTTTACTCCATAGTATAAGGGTTTTACTCCATAGTATAAGGGTTTTTCTCCATAGTATAGGGTTTTACTCCATAGTATAGGGTTTTTCTCCATAGTATAAGGGTTTTACTCCATAGTATAGGGTTTTTCTCCATATAGATGGATATATAAGTAATATTATTTAAAATTTTGTTGGTAATGTAGATACAAATAATGAGGTTGGTATAACTGAAGGATGTCCAGCAGTTTTATGAGATTTGTCATTTATAAAGTCTATAATAACATTCAGATAACAAAAACTTATTGTTATTTCTAATTACTGTAAAAATCTCACTAAAACAATACATCATATTTCATCATAAGATCATTATTTCATTTCTATTGGTCTTGCAGTGCCATGAAATTCATTTAATTGTTTTGTTCTAGTTCATATTTTTAACGTTACAATGCATTTTATATCATTAACAACTTACAAATATGTATCAAATAACTTGAGATCACTGCAGATTTTTTTTCATTTTTTTTCTTATTTCCTTTGTTTTAATT